ATATATATATATATATATATATATATATATATATATATATATATATATATATATATATATATATATATATATATATATATATATATATAATTTATTTCTGTAACGGTTCATGCATTGAAAGCTTTAATGAGCGGTTTTATCTTACCCAATAACAAAAATAAAATAAAATTAGCTTGTTTGGTAATTGGTACACTTCCGAGATGACTGGGAAAAAAGAAGCAAGGATGCTCAAAGGATGCTTTTAATTATATGACGGGTTCCAAAAATCTTCCAGGGGCCGGTTGTTCGAAGCTGGATTAGTGCTACCCTTGGCCTAAATTTAACCTGCTGTTTCAGTTTATGTATTTCTGCACGTCTGGTTATTTTAAAACTTCAGAGAAAAAACTCTTACTGATCCAGACAAGATTTGTAAAGAAATATTTCCAAATTTATAAAAAAGTTATTGACAAGTTGAATTTTAGGTTAACCTAGGTTAAGCTTGCCGTCTTAGTTCGAACAACTAGCCCCAGATCTACTTATCTACTCAGCACATAAAATGGCTGCCAGCAGAAATTGAAACCTGCGATACCATAGTGTAGCACTAATTAAATAGAATATGGTTTTTGAACTTCAACTTGGAGAAGACTGATTAGCAAAGGACCTGGTCTACAATTTATGAAGTTATCACTGAAATTGACAAAATTGTACACACCTGCTACATATCCTAATTTGTCAACAATTTCGTCAACAATTTCGTTGACATTACCAATGTCGTCTGGTACATACTGAATACTACCATCATTCACTGCCGCCAGGTCATTCTCCAGCCGTTCATTTCTCAATCTCTCAATTTTCTCATCAATCAATTTTTGTGATGAGAGCATTTCTTCAATGCTTCCTCTCTTCAGGAGATTCCTTGGCAGCGACACTGAAGCTTGGACTTTATCAAGATAATCTTTCATTTCATCATGTTGTTTGCTCAGTTCACTGTGTAATTCACCATAAACCTTGTCCACTTCCTCATTCATTATCTTTGCTCTCTCGTCAAGTTTTTCTGCCACAATCTTCAAGATATTTTCCTTTTGTTGTTTGATTTGATCTTTAGCAGTTTTAGCATTCTTTTCAAGAGACTTCATCACCTCACAAACGTTGTTTAATGCTTCTTTCCCCTCAGCTAATTTCTCATCAAGTGTTGTGCAGCTTGATTGCAATGTTTCTCTTTGCTTCTGTGTGAGTTCACTCACTGCCACACACGAATGGTTTGGTTTTTGATGATTTAAAACCAAGCAATGTATACAGCAAAGTTCCTTGCATGTTTCGCAATAAAATTCAAGTATTTTGTCCTCATGTTTCATGCAATAAAGCTTGCTTCTCATTTTTACTTGACTTTCTGGATTGCCTAGCTCTTGTACACATATTACATTATGATTTTTCAACCAAACATTGTGAGACTCTGAACATTTCTTACACATAAACTTTTCGCATGATGCGCAGTGATTAATGGCAGGATCTTGGCAGTGGGAACATGCAGTAGATATTTTTGCTTTTTGTTGAATCGCCATAATTTCCAACATATTCTTAATGAAATAACTGCTTGGCAGTTCAGCAACATCTTGGTTTGATTTGAGAGTGAACTCTGAGCGACACGTAGGACATGGAAATGTCTCGATCTTCTTTTCAGCACCGCGAAGACGTTCAACATACTTTCCTAAACAATGCACAGACATAGAATACGCTTATAGTCTTAAAGCATGAATAAACATGTTTAAGAATACATTAAATGCAATAATTATAACAAAGACAGGTCAATTGTTGAGTAACTTTAATTAAGGTAAGCTCAGAATTAGGGAAGTGCCGGATCCGGATAATGGTATCCGGTCAAAAATAGACATACAGCAGTTTAGTATTTTTGCACAAGTGAACATAACAAATCCTACAAGTTGATTGGTCAAATTTGACGTATTAAACTGTTATATTCACCTACAGGTGATATATTCACCTACAGGTGGATATAACAAAACCGAAATTTTCAAAATGGCGGCTAGCCGTTTTGTGGACAAGAAAAAAGAAATAAGCGAAATTAAAATAAATTCAGTCCCAAAAAACTTGTGTAAAAATACTAAAACAATTATTCGCCTCAGGCTCGGTGATTATCGGGGAATATTCACCTCGACTTCGTCTCGGCGAATATTCCCTGCATGATAATCACCTAGCCTTCGTCGAATAATTGTTAAATATCAGGCAAAATTTGGGCGGGTAATATACTGGAAGTTTTATTAACCGAAACAAAAAAAATGTTTTTGTGTGTTAAGACATTGTATAGAACAGGTCGAACAATTACTGCATGTGAGACATGCAAAAATGTTTTCGAGATGTACAGTAAACTGCTCTCTGTGGCATCTCTGCTCTGATTACAGTACCTGCAGACCCCTGTGCCACACATATTGATACTTACTGTTTGAACAAGGAACTAAATATACTGTATTATGGGAACAAAAAGTTAAGTACAACCATTAGTATCTGATTATTATTTTCCACTAACTGGTTTCTGGTAGACTATTATCCGGTATACAACAAAACACTATCCGGCACATCCCTAGTCTGAATGGTACAGAATAACTATAAATGAAATATTTTCCAATTTTCCTACTCCCTATAGCTACAGTACCATCAGCACATTCAGGACCCACACTGGCCACACAGCAATTTTATGAGTGGGGAGGGCTGGTTTTGAGATAAAGTAAGTTTGCAGCTATTGCTACAAAACTTTCTGAGCGGTCTGAGGGCATGCCCCCCCCCAAAAAAAAAAGTTTGAAAATTACAAGCCTGGAAAGTGCAATTCTATCTAATTTCTACAATAATTTTGTTTAAAGTAACCATGTGTATATTGCCTGATGATAGGCAGATATATTTCTGTGAAACACACGTCTATATAACAGAAAAATTGGTGAAGAATCTTGCTGATGATTATCGTATTGTAAAAGAACAATTACATGAATATGTAACAGTCAAGTCGAGCGTTATTCTGTTTTGAAAATCACACAGGCAGGCTTAAAACTGCGACACTAGCAAACTATAATTACAAAGCAAGGTTTATTATCTTCTGCCCGGTGGCTTCTGCCCGCGCATTTTCAGCGAAATCCTACAAATTCTGCGTATTTTTCATGAATTAATGCATTTATTTCGTCTACTTTGTGTCGAGAGGAAGCTTAATACACAAAAACAGAATTTAGTATTGTAAGTGACGGCCTGCAGGCTATGCATTAATGCATACAATACAGTCACTCATTCTCAATATTTGTTCTGCCTTCACTTCCGCGCAATTAATGTGCCAGGGAGGCATTCATTGCGCAAAAATAAAACTGGCATTACTCGGGTATTTAATTATTAAACTGTAAAATATCCACGCAAAGCATGCGTCAAGTAGACCTTTTAAACAAAGAAAATATTACTCACCTAAACACACTTTACAAAAATTATGAAAGCAAGCCAAGCTTCGTGGTTCTTGTAGGGTTTCCAAACACATGCAACATGTGAGTAGTTCGTTGATTTCATCAACAGGAACACTTTCTGATGAAGCACTTGCCATTTCAATTAAATCTTTCTTACTTCACAATTCAAGATAACATATTTGTGTCGTATTTCCAACGAAATGATCGCATAAAATCTTGCCACAAATACTGTACTGCCAAATTGAAAGTGTTGGGTTCGTTTAGAATTGTGAAATACCCGGAAGGCTGGAAACGTAAATATTCTTGGAATTAAGCCTGCGATTAGGCTGGGACAGTGACCTCCATATAAAACTGGACTGATGACATTAAAATTGGTTAGCTTTCGGGTAAATTCTTCATTTTTATCCCTCTATTTCTAATAACTCCCTTGAATTACTCCTTCTCGTTTTTAAGGCATATCTGCACCAGAGATTTAAGGCATCTGTACGGGAAATTTCGCGATAAATTAATGAATGACAGCTATTGAGGATACCCATGCCTCATGGACCACAAATTATTCATATATTTTGTCTTGCAGAATTTCGTTGTTTTGAAGGGACTTGCCGCATCGTAGATCTTAAAGGGTCTTAAAGGTGATGTAAAGCCCGCAATGTAAATAAACGCTTTGTTTACATTTTTCAATCAGTTCTACAGTTGTAAAATATGATTAGATATATATATTATACTGAATTTTTAACACTCTTCTGGTTCGCTATGCTTGTAAATTAATACAGACTAGAGATTCAATTCAAGAAAGTTCGGAATGTGCAAAATATTAACAACATTCCAATAGTCGGGTCCCGACCATTGGAATATAGGCCTGCGCAGAACGGACATTACATCACCTTTAAACTCTTTATTGTTTTGTATTTGGCAAAAGTGTTTCAGTGTTTCCCGTAATTTTTATTGGGGATTCAACATTACCAAGTTGATGCGATTAGATGGCTTAATATATGGACGAAATCGGAGATTTTATGAGCTGGAAACAAATTGCTGTTGATGCATTTCAAAGCAAGTGTTTAATCATTGTTTGTGTTTCATTTATAGCCACAATAGAATTCAAATTTAATCATTTTTGTGCTACCATATATTTTGGCTACTGTGTGAAGCAAAATAAAGAAAGGCACACCTAAGGGAATATATTTTCTAATTTAAGCGAATCAACGGTACTGAGGAAACTGATTTTTTTGCATATTCAAATAATGATTGAACAATTGAATACTTTGATATTTTTCTTTTATATAATTCTTCCAGTCTCACCTACATGTTATAGTTTGACTGCAATTTGTTCTCTGCGCAGAACGCATCATTTGGATGCGCAGTCGAAACTCCGATTTAAACCTAACAGTCCTTTCACTTGGGTTATAGCTGTGGACAGGAAACTGTTGAGATTATATTATAATTTTAAATCCGTCACATTCTTTACAAATCAAATTGTTAGGTGAAAAATCACTTGTACTATCCGGCAAATATCGTCTATTTCTACATCTCTTCTAA